GCGCCGCTGCAGAAAATGGGGCTGCCTCCAGCCCAAAGAAGGTCTAAAATGGCATTTTTTTTGGAGGGGAGGAGGACTACGGGTCCCGGCATGCTGCGTTGCGTTCCTGCCGAGGCTGCGCCGGCGGCACAGCATGCTGGCGGCTGTAGTGCCAGCTGGGGCAGGGGGTCCCGAACCCCCTTACCGAAACACCACATGCTGTGGGTCATGGTCCAGGGTCACAGGAAGCCTCTCGCCGCTCGGGGACATTGGGACATTCTATCCAGCATGGCCTTGGCATGTCCCACCCACCGGCCATCCCAGCAGGAGGGTAGCCCTCAGCTCCATGCGAGGATGGGGGGTCTGTGATGGGAGTGCTGAGAAACCCGCATCCAGGACCTGGTGTGTGCAGGGGGTGCAGGCTGCTGCCATCCAGCCCCCTCCCCACAGCTGATGCTCCTCCGGTGCTGGCGAGGATGGTGGAGCCCACCTGGGAAGTGAGCTGGGGACTTCACCAGCTGGCACGGGCTCGGGGCAAGAGGGACTGCTGCTGAGGTGGGGTTTGTCTCTAAACAAATGTGGATTTAATTTCTTTTTTTCCCACTAATTTTCCCTGGTCATTTCAGCAGAATAAGAAGGGTGGAAAATAAAAACGGGGTGGGGGGGAGGGGGGGAAAGCAGCGGCTGAGGGAAGCTCACAAGCCCAGGCCATGCCAGGAAGGAGCTCCAAAAACTCTCTACACTAAAAATTTCCAGTGATTGAAAATTTTCGGCAAACTTTTTCAGACAAAATGTTGCAAAGCCCTTTTGCAGGGCTGATGGAACAAAAATGATTTCCAGCTGGGTTGCCAATGCTGCTCGGCCAGTTTGGCCGCGTGTCCCTTAGCCCCTAGCCTTGTTGCTTGAGTCACTGTCTTCCTGCTGTCCCCCAGTCCCGCTCCCCCGAGGAGCGACGAGAGCTTCACAACGGCTGCGTGGGGATAATTTCCCTATATTAGACTAAATGTAAATGCGTTTCCCTGCGGGACGTTATGGCATCTGGTATCCTGATGCTTAAAGAGTTTACTCAGCCTGAAAGAACAGTGGGAAAAAATATCCCTGGATATTTTTTGGAATGCAGAAGGAAATTGAGATTTTAATGTTGGGGGAACCAGCTATGATCAAACACAGGAGCTTCATGCACGCTTCTCAGCGATGCAGTTCTAATTCCCAGTTGCAGTTGAGTTAGTTGCAACTAACTAAACTTTCCCAGCTGGGAATAGGAAAAAAAAAGTGACCAGGTATGTGATTTCCCTCCCCCCCCCCTTTCCAAAAAAAAAAAAATAGAGAAAAAGGGGAAAAAAATCACCCTAAATCCAGGTGTTAATTTGTACCTCCTGCAGAGCTCATGGGGTTTAGCAGAGACACCCCTCCGGGGGACCCAGCAGTGCACCGCTGGGTGCAAAGAGCCTCTAGCGGGGTGTGGGTGGCAGCTCCCGGGGCTTTGCAGTCCCCTTGGGTGCTGGCATGGTCACAGCAAGCCTGCCTCGCTCCGGCTGTGCCAAGTCCTGCTTTTGCCAGTGAGCAGGGCCGTATCCAGCACCTCCCAGATGGGCTCCGCAGGATGGGGGCATCTGCCGGGTGGCAAGCTGGTTGAGGGTGGCTTTGGGCTTTCTCTGGTGGTGAGGACCAGATTGTGGGTCCCCACGTGAGGTGGGTGCAGGGACACAGCCAGGCACCCATATGTGGGGTCACTGGTGTTGGGGAAGCT